TGCGATAGTCCTGGGGACTTTCCCCAGGGCGTTGTGTCTATAGAGTGCTCGACTGGCCGACTAAAGACGAGAGTTGAAACGTATTTCGTTGTGTGTGTCTATTTGACTGTAAAGCTTTCGCACAAAAAGTGAATCCGATGCTAAACAGTTACATGTTGATATTTTATTTATATGTTTTACAATAACAACGTGAGACTGCAATATTATTGTTTGCCTTAATTTGAATATGTTCTATAAACATTGGTTTGTTGACTGTACAAAAAAATAGCATCACCAAAAATGATCAGGTAAAATGTCTTCTAAGCTTGTTTTCTAACGAATAAGAGCTCCCAATACTCTTACCCAATAAAATGTGTTGAACAAGTGGGAGTATTAACCTATAATTTATTGTTCTTTTTGGCACAACAGCAGTATTTTGCATATTTTATGTGTTTATTTTGGTATATATGTTACACGTATTTGCAAAGTGTGAATGCAGCTTTAAAGATGATGCGTTTAAATAAATTGTTCAGCTATACAGTTTATCGGAGTGCCCATTAGTCGAAAACTTACCTGATGAGAAAATAATAATTGTGTTATTCCAGAGTTCTGTTTCTTTCAATGTCCGCGTAATATTTCCTATACCTTCATCCATACAAGTAACCATTCCTGCCACTATACGTCGATCCTCGTCATCTATTACTCCATTATACATATTAGAATAATGCTCAGGGACTTGTAAATAGTTAGCATGAACTGACTGGTAGGACATGTATAAAAACAGAGGCTGCGAAAAAGAATGAAACCTTTAAGAATTGTAATGTTTAAATGATATTGCAATGCGGGTCATAGCTTCCTTCAGTGTGGATAGCCAATCAGTGTGAGTGTGGAGTTGAATCAAGATTAGGTTAGACGTAATTGCCAATTTGGAGTTCACTGCCGTACATCGTACATATTACTTTTTCATGTGCTAACGCGGCTGCTTTAACTTTTGTTTCTAATATAGTCTATCATCAGTGAAATGTGTTGATTCAACTGAGTTATTATGCTACCTTTATTGTTTGTCGAGATTCAAGTCAATCAGCTGGACGAGTACTTATTTTAATGGAAATTCTCCCGCCTTCGCTATAATGCTGAATTCGAATGTTGTTTTTTTTTTTCTTGACTGCCGCAATTGGAATAAATTTGTTCGATTCTGCATTTACGATTGCCTCACACTGTAATTTAGATTTGTTATGACCAATACTCAACCACATAGTAATTATATGGCATATATCATACCTATTTTCGGTTTATCTCTACCTTTTGTGCGATTGTTTGCAAATTTGTGGGGGACGTGTGTGTATTTGGGGTGTCCATTTCTATCCAGCATATGACCAGCGCTTCCAAATTTGTAAATGGATAATTCTACTATCCCATCAATTTAGAATGTTTTTCAAAGTGCTTAGACACACGATATAATTTCGGCAACCCAGAAAGTGTTTACACAGACAAAATAAACCACATTGGGTTTTCTCTTCTGTGCGTTCAGGACTCGGTACAAAACACAAACAATTTGGTGGGTTATAATGAATGGACCAATCCCATTTGGTTAGAGTGTGAGAATCTGGTGGTTCTAGAATTTCACAAATGTAGTGAAAGATGGTTTAAAACGTCATGATGATGTTTCTGCTGATTAACAAATCTAAGTAATTATGAACGTTAGTCAGACAAGGTCACATTGTCGCAACAACGGGAAAAGAAAATACCAGATGGCAAGCATACATGTTTCACTTGACTTGCAGATTGGTGGGAGTATTTAGAGACATGAGATATTGATTCAAATATAGGCTTATGTAATAATGAATGGGTAACTAGTTGAGGGTAGGGCACGGTTCAAATCGTTATAAACTTTTACAAAAATCAATGATAAGTCAATGACCCTTGTCAAAGCACTATTTTGTTGTACAACACAAATTAAATGAAAGATAGTACAGCTAAAATTTGAGGTTATATATATATATATATATATATATATATATATATATATATATATATATATATATATATATATATATATATATATAACCAAGTATTACAGATTGACATCCTGGTTTGCTAAGCTGTTGATAAAAATATCTTTTTTTTCAAAAATGTGCCTAATATGGGTGAATTATTGCCAAAATGCATATTTTATTTTTGTTACAAAAATATGTTTATTAGGTATTGAGCAAAATTATTACATGTTATTTGTATTGAAACTATTTGTATAGACGAATGACGTCCGTATTGTGATAGATAAGTTTGAAAAAAGTGATGTCATTTTAGATAACCACAATATGATAACATTTTAAAAGAAATCTCGCCATCATGCTATCGTTTTTTTGTGCTGCACGTGCTACTATATAAATCATTGCAGTTATCCACAACTACATAACATGATACGATGTTTTCATTTGGAACTTTTTCATACATGATATTACATTCGGTATTTCAAAGCTTGTCTTTCATATCGTATGACATACAAACTGCCATATAGGAAAATCAACTTAAGGTAGAGCAATTATCTCAAGTTTAGTGCACATCCCAGCTCTTTAAAAAATAGCTCCAAGACGCTTTGACATTTTGTTTTGAAATTTTCACAAATGATTGCCAATGTGTTTAGTTGAATTTTGCAATTATTAGAAAGTCAACAGTTCTTAAATTAAATTAATCTTAAGATGTTTTATTTTCCATGCTACGTCCGTAGCGCAAAATAATATTTGTCAATTTCAGTTGACAGAAAAATTTTAATTCAGTCAGTGATGATTGGGGCCATGCCATAAAATCATTGGGTACACGTATATGCCCTACTTACCAAAAACTTGCAAATATATTTCTCCATTGCAATTTTCATACTAAGAGGCTCCCAAGCTATTTTAGGTTGCTTGCCCTTCCAACAGTTACATCTATTGCGTGTTTTAAAAAGGCGATATTCATCTCCCGTTCATAAATAATGGCATATTTAAGTCGAAGTACTGAATACATTTGTAAATAAGGCTAAATAACAGTTGGGGTGGGAGTATTCCTCATCATATTACATAATGTCCACTTGAGGTTACAAAGCTAGCCTATACTTCTGGTTAAATTACATGTATTAATATAATTAATATAATATAACCAGAGGATGTTGTTACGAGGTCTGTTTGTTCTTCTTTCCGTGGGGGGTTCGCATTTGAGGTGATAATCATATCCACTTTGATTTAGAGCTGTCTGGTAGGGTGGCGCGGCTAGATCAAAGTGTTTTTCGTCTGATGAAAAATATGACAATCGTTTGTTGATTCCTGCCGGTATATTCTTTGTGATGGAGGGTGGGTGATTGCTCTCTCTATGTACGTATAGTGGGTGGCTGTTGGGTTTAATTTATTTATTTAGCCAGTGTTATCGGATTGACGATGCATATCAATCACTTGAACTATAATCTCTGGTTAACAAGCTAAGAAGTAATGGACAGTACAACTCTTACACATATAGTAGATCGCTTGGCCCACGGAAAAGGCTACGCCAGCCAGTATCACGCCCCCTCCAAAATAACGCCATTTTCTAAAATATGAAAGAGCTTGGCAGATGGACAAAACGTACTCTGTTAACACTGCTGAGTGTACAGCCGGTAATGGGAGTGCAACGATCTCCCTGATAATGTGCGGACACGCTAATTATTGTGCAACATATCAGGCCGTTAACTCGTCACAATCCCGTCCACAGAGCTGTTAGTGTTGGCTGGCGAATGTACGTATCGATATGGTTACAACATAATACCATGATTGAC